CCATCAAATTTTGAGTCTCTGCAGATTGAAACTGGCAACAAGAATGCACCCATATAAAAACATACACTGTGTTTTTGTACTTGATGCAGCATCCTGCAAAAAGTGACACCAAACCAAAACCAAGAGAGGACTTTCAGCTATAGCTTAAGTCATTTAGTTCAAACATATGAATAAAAACACAAATAAGAAATCATTAGCAAATTGATTTACAACTTGTTTCTTTTTTTTACAGGGTCATCCCACTGTTGAAGATTCTGGACCATAATCCTCCTTCTTCAGTCAGCGACAGCCTCCTTAATGCTCTGCTTAAAGATGCTCTTACAGGAAACAACAGAACATTCCTCATTTACTGCATCACCTCTCAAGGTAAAAGGAGTAAAAACAGAGTGGAGAGGAAGTTTATTTAGATCTGAATTTTGGATATTACTTCTTCTCAGGTTTCCTCGATGATGAAACTCAATCTGCTCTACATTTGGCTCAGAAAGTGAGGGGATTAGTTACTAAACCCACTTCTGTTCGCTGGAATCCAAAGAGAACAGAGCAGGAGCTTCGTGAAAGCATCCTGGAGCTACAAAATGTGATGCTGCTGGGAGAAAATCAGGTTCACAACATTTACAAGTTAGCTCAGCTGACTCAGAATCTAAAGGTAAATACTATACTAGGAAATCTACAACCTCCAATGAAGCATTACAGTGAAAGTTCAGTCTACCATCTCTAAAATAGATAGTGAAAAATCAGTCATGGGAGAAGAGAAGAGAGGAGTCAGAGAAGATAAAAGTTAAAATTAAGGTTGGAATCTTTTCCCCTAAAAGCAAAATCATCAAACCATATTTCTTTTTAATAAACTGACGTCCATATTCTCTTAAACTTCACAGAAATCATCAGTCAGCCCCCAGATGCTTTCTGCAGATTGCCTTTTTGATCATAAAGACGACACCGAAACAGCTAAATATCTGCAGGAAAGGTTAAGACAAGAAATGGAGGAACACATCAAAGGTAGCATGTTTTAATTCAAAATGTTAATTAATCTTTAAGGCATAATTATGACCATGTAGTCTTCGTTTCTGGTATTTCCAGAAGGGAAAGACAGTGCTGAAAAGGTCCAGGAGAGGGTGACCAGAATCCAAAAGCTGAAAGAAGCTCTCAGAGAAGAATCACTGAAGAACAGAAATGTTTTAAGAGAGTCTCAACTCCCTCAACAAGTACTGTAGCCGACATTGTCTCAGATTTTGCATTTTCTATGTGGTTTGCTGATTGAGCTGAAGGTATTCAGTTTTTACTCTAGGTGGGTTTTGCTAATTATCTTAAGGAGAGAAACATATACACTCTATTTATGACCATGATTAGTGAGGTCTTACTAACTCAGTAGCCTATATCCAAACTTGATACCACTACATAACAGTCTTTGTACCTGAGGTTTTAAAATAAAAAAACAAAATATCACAACTATGTGTAACAAAGAGAAGAATAGGCAAGATACTTTCTTGCTCGCATCTCATTTGGTTAAAAACAAGGCCTATGTTTACCCCACAGCATGACACCGCCTCTACCTCACATGACAGTGGGAAGTATTGTTATGGCAATAGAATATCTTTCATGTGCAAAGATCATTTAAACTCAGTCTGAAACTAGTTGTGTCTTCCATATGACCACTTTTCTAAAGTCTAATTTTAGAGTGCACAAGAGGAGACCTTTTTTGTTTTCTGACTGACAAGTCCTCCGGTCAACGCTACAGGAGCTCGCTATCTGTCCCGTCTTGTCTATGAATAATGCTGCACTCCATTAAAATGCAGCACTTGGAACTCAGTCACATAATCTCTGATCTGTGCATGTATGGGCACTATTAAAACCGTGGAAATGGCACAGTGTTTTGTTTACGCAAACAATGTTGAAACACCCCATCTTATAAACACTTGAGTGCACGTATGACAGACTAAATATCATTTGAAAAGTCACACTTTTAGCTCACATCTGTGTGGCTGCAGACCAACGTAATGCATTTTACTGCAGTTGTGAACTCCATTTTCTGAAATTGTGATGAAATTGTAAATGGCAGAATTGTCCAGCCTTACTGTCGATGCAAGTAGCAGCCATCTTGAATGCAGGGGTAGGGTGTTGGTTACCCCTACTTTTCGACTCATACTTTTTTACTTTCAGTAACCGTTCAGTTCTAAATTTGCTCTTCAGACCTCTGAATACAGGTGGAACGCACCTTATATGCCACTGAAGATAGGGAAGCCATGCTTTGTTTGCTGCCAAGCACAGGAAGCCCACATGGAGAGACACAAGTTCCCCTTCCTTATCTTCTTTTGGGCTGCAGTGCCTGAATAATACCTCCTTTAACAAAGTTTAGATGGATTAGACATGGCTTCACACTCATCGATCATACTTCTATGAGTTAAGTAGGAGTCTTGGTTATTAGCTTATTCTTAATGCTACCAACTTTCACATCAGTTAACATTTTTTACCCCACTGTAAATAGTTTAATTTGTTGATAAGAGCATTAAGGAAGAGATGGGAGAAAATCCCTAGAGCTCAACTTCAAATATAAACCCTGAGCAAATCTTTTTCATTTATTCATTTCCTTTCCAATACCATTTTCTCCACTTCAGAAACTTAAGCCTCTTAAATAGCATTCACGCTACTCCTGTAAGTAGACTACCTCTCTCAAAAGCATTATTAAACCCTCCTCATCAAGATCTAGTCAGAGAAATTGTTGGAAACAGCTGTAATTATTGACTCTGAGGGTAACCATTTGCAGAAAGCTTTACATGTGCAACTTCCTAGTCTGATAACACATTTAAAGGGCTTAGTCCAACAGTTTTCAACATCTAAATAAGCTTTATGCTTGGATTAGTGGCAAACACACACTAAGACGTTTATTTTGTTAATTTAATGATTAGTCTCAGTTGGAATACAATGAAGCACAGGAGCGGAGGAGGAAACTTAAGGAGGATCACATGAGATTAATTCAGGAGGAGGTGGCGAAGATGGAGAGAGACTTGGCGCAGGAGCAGCCACCGGTGAGATAATGAGATACCCTGTTGTTTACATTCTGTTTATGATCCATCTTAGACAAAAATGCTGAGTCAGTTTGAATAAATGCAAGTCTGAATTTATGGCCATGCAGAAACGGCCGCACTTCCAAACCAACGCTGGTATCTCTTTCAGCTAACTCTGTTTACTCGTTGCTCCATCAGACAGAAAGCCCTCAGAGGGAGCTGCTGGTGTTGAGCAGAGAGAGGCAGATCCTGCTGATGCACATAGAGGCGCTTCGTGCCGAGGCCCAGCAGGCAGAGAGCGACCTTCAGGAACAGCATCACAGACACCAAACAGAGCTGCATTGTTTGAGGGAGGAGAGCCTGCAGGTGGGGGTTTATTGGGTTCAAACTAAAGCCAACAAAGTATGCTGTTTATTGGGTTAGTAAAATATTTGCATGAGAAAAAAGCTACAAGGTCTTTGGTTCAGAGAGCAGCGAGATGGAGAGTTCAGAAAACATTATACAACGGGTCACAGTGCAGAGCAGCGTTTACGACTGAATCCTCAGGATGTTTATGAAATCAAACAGCAGGGTGAAAAACCGCCTGCTGAGGTTAGAAATCAGACCTAGAGTTATCTTCTTAAAGCTTTTCTTTTGCTTTTTGAAGTTTCCCTCTTAGTCTGTATAGAATATATTACTAAAAAGTTATTCTCTGTTTATAATGATTCTGAAATGGTTTGTATTGAGACCTAGAAGTACTTTTATTGACCTTTTCAGGTGATGCAATAATGAGGTGTAGCTCTGGGTCAGACCATAAGTTTGCAACCTGCCTCCCTGGAGCCGCATGTGGCTATTTGGACCCCCTATAATGCCTCTTATTAGTGGCTAAAAATGATATAAAGAACTAATTAATATACTATAATCAAAAATACTAGTCTTAACTTGAGTGCTTTTATAACGAATATTTGAGTTGAACTTTTTACAACCGAATTACATTAGAAGAACCAGAAGTACGTTTTTAGGGCTACTTTTCTTTTAAGTTTGTTAATTATGCGTTTTATTTTTTTTTTTATTACATCAAATAATACCCATGGAAGAAAGTCAATGCTTCGTTTTTATAAATGGCATATTTTTCTTTTAATTTGAAAATCAAAAAATATAACATGTTGTTTGAGATACCAACAGATCTCCTGTTGCACATATAAAAAAAGTTGTGTTTTATTAAAAGGTCATGTAATATTTTGCGGCTCTAAATGACTTTTACTAAGCTGGACTCAGAAGAAAATTCCTCAGGAGAAAATGGCTCTTTAGATTTCTGACCCCTGAGCTAAACCGATCGCATTTATAATATCAAACAACACTGTTTTATACAACCCCGTTTCTGTTATGATTCTTCTCCCTGACGGCTCATATTAAATATAAGATTCTCTTTGTTGTGCCTTTTGTAACAGAATGTCCAACCAAACCATTTTATCAAACCTACAACAATTGTTGGTTTTAGAGTTATACTACCACTAGGGCTGCAACTAACAATTATTTTGCAAACTGATTAATCTTTTGATTTTTTCTTCAATTAATCTATTAATAATCGAATTACCAAAAGTTCCTTAAAGAATATTTTTAATGAAATTACAGCAGGTGAAATAAACTTTTCTACTTGAGGAATTCTGGATAGAGCATATAGAAAGAGGAATTCTTGTTTTTAAATTTAACTTGAATGCAAAATGTTTACATATATATATATTTTTTACAATCATGGTATAATTCCTGCTCTAACTGGGTCACTCTGTCAGCTAAAGGTATGATTCAGAGTCTCTATACTTCAGTTAACGATTAGTCAATTAATAAAATTGTTGATGATTTCAATAATTGATTAATAACAATTAACCAGATTAATAATCTGGTTAATTGTTTCAGTCCCAACTACCACTCAGCAGTGTGTGATCAGTATAAGGAGGAGATGCCAGGCAGCTGTGGAGGTTTATGGCTTCATCGTAAACTATAGAGACCACTTTCTGGTTAAGGATTAAAATTTAATTGCAGAAATTAATTAAATAATCAAAAAAAAAGAAGAAAAAAAGACATTTTAGAGAAATAAATATTCAATAAGTTCTGTTAAAACTAATAATTGACCAAACACTAATTTTCCAACAAAAACACAATAAGACGTTTGTTTTCTGCCGTTCTGCAGGTGTTCAGGGTGTTTCGTGAAGTCAGTGAGGAGCAGAGGAAGATTTCAGAAGGCAGATATAGGAGAGTGCTGCTGGAAGCTGTGCAGGATGCCATCTACCTGTCAGCGCAGAACCAGCAGCTGCAAGCTGAGAACAAGCAACTTAAAAAAGGTCAGAGTTTCTCAGCCGTTGCTTATATAACCACAGATAAATTTTAATAATGCTTCTAATGTCTTTCTCATTCTGCAGCCTTGGGGGAGATGAAAGATGCTCTTGCTGTGCGAGGAAGTCCTGCGACTGACCAGATAAACCAGCAGCAATGAGAGGAATCCTTTGTTGGTGAATGCTTCAGAAAATGTATTGGTCATTAAACACAGGATGTAACACTTTATCCCTTACAATGTTGGTAAAACACAATATGGATTACAGGTTATTGTAGGACGTCTCTGTAACAATAAGCAGTGTAACATTAAAAAAAGAAAAAAAAAAAAACAGCATTTGATCAGCTCTTTCTTTAACCCACATCTTTAGGAAATAGATAGTGACTAAAGTTTGGTTTCAGAAGGCAGATAAAAAGGCAAACAATAGGACTAAAAAATGGCGCCTTGCAAAATTGCTTGTAACTCTGGATATTTTCTGCTTTGTTTTGCTTCACTTTGCAACCAACTGTGTTTTTTTATTATAGAGTGGAAGAAAAGCGATACTACTACTAAAAAACCTCAGTGTGGATTCATATTCAGGTCATTTACCAAATACATTTCTAAATCAAATCCTTCAGAAGTAACTCAGCTGCTCTATGAAAGCCTCAGAGGCTTGTTAGAGAACAAACAGCATCTTGAAGAAAAGAGAAGACTGGTTTGATTTGCACACTGTCCTATAAACACCGTTCCCACAGTAACACACGCTGCAAGAATCATGCTTTTTTCCTTTTCTTTTGTGACCACAGCATCCCTGTGGTCACTAAAGAAAGCTTCAGGTTTTGTAAAACTATTTTGAAAACCAGGTTTCATTTTCTGCTTACTTCACAACTCTGCACTACTGTTCTGGTTTCTCACACTTAATTCGTTGAAGTTTAATGTGACAAAATGAGAGCTATGAATACTTCTGCACCATTAAAAGAATCTCAAATGCGAAAGATCACAACAGGCAGTCTTTGTTCGGAGCTCCTCTGAAGCCTCTCTTATCTGTAATAAAGGTAAGCTGCCAGTCCAATCAGAGCACAGGGTAGAGGGAACAAAGGGGTGAGCTGTAAGCCCAAGATGGCCCAGGATAGCAGCGCATTAACCAGCATGGAGGAGGAAATGACAAACAGTCTGGTGATCCCGCTGCCGTGTTTGAGCACCACAGACATCAGAAGTCCGTTTGCTGCCTGCCCTGCGATGATAACCCACACCAGCCCAGAGTAGCCCTCCAGAAACCTCCGGTCGCCCCTTAAGGAGGAGAGAGAGGTCAGTCCGTTGATCGCCACTCCAAACATATAGAGGTAGAGATTCTGAACGCTTAGGGGCAGCTTCTGGCTCTTCAGCATCCTCTCTGTGTAAACTGCAGCCAGTCCTGAAACGCCGCAGTAAACCAGCACAAGAAAAAGCCCCCAAGCGCTGATGTGGAGCCTGGGACCCTCATGGACTTCAGGACCCTGTAGATCCAGGCTGCTGTAGCTGTGGAAGCCCCCCGCAGCCATGAGGAGCCCCAAGGCGACCCACTGAGCGGACTGTAGCCTCTTCCCCAGACAGACGGAGTACAGCAGCGCCGTGGAAGCTATTTTGAGATTAGAGAGTATTTGGAATGAGCTGGGATCCATGTACGCCTGCATGACAACTACCAGGTTGTTGTTTAAGGTGTAGAGCACAGCGGGGACGGCGTAGGGGGCCACCAGGAGCAGGCGTGGAGGAGATCGCAGGGCCGACGTGGAGCCTGTGAGAGCCAGGCTCAAAGAGGAAATGAACAGTTTGGCAAACTCAATCATGAGGACGCAGGAGGAGGCGTTGAATGGGACTTGACCGTCTACTTTGGTGATAGCGATAAGCGGTGCATGAGAGCCGTAGAGCAGCACCATCAGGCCCAGGAGGAAACACCACTTAACCCCGCTTGCCCACCGCCTCTTTATCCTCGCCGGGGATCGATGCCCCACATTCTGAATTACAATCATTTTAAATTACACAAAATGAACACTAGCTGTAATAAAAATTAACTTCAGTGCAAGAAAAAAAATAATCAGTCAATCTTCCATAAATATTATTTTCCAACATAATCTATGATAAAACCTCGACAATAAATGTGTTTCTAAACTAAACGGAGAACCTGTGTGATGCATGAGAAGCACATTATAATCCAAAGGCCTTAACATAAATATAGCTGCTCAATCTGGGAAAAAAAACAAACCTTAAAACCTCACAGGCACAGAGACATCCATCTGTGGAAACAAAGAAATAAAAGCAGCAGCAGCTTTAAACTGAACCCAAAGCAACAATGAAAGCGACTGGAGTCTTTGTCTTTAGGTCCCCCGTGGAATTACACTTAAAGGTAGTTCAGCTCAGTTCCAGCACCTCCCAGAGCTGCACTTCTTCTTTTTTATCATCTAGTGCAGGTCAGTCCAATTTACTTTGGCCCCTTTTTCATTGTGCTCACGTAATCTCTAATGGTCCTTTCGATGTTTGGCACCTGATAGTTCTGAGCTGCGTAGATGCCGGTGAGAGTTCCCAGCAGCACTCCCAGGAAGGCAGAAGAGCGCAGCTTGGCCACCACATAGCCGGCCAAAAAGCCCTTCAGGAAGGGAGACCCCAACACTGTGCTTCCCTGCAGAAGGAGATATTTGATTAGTGTTTTTAGAATACTGGCATGTAAGAACAGGTATGTTACTGTAACAACATTTTCAAAATGTGACGCTCTGAAAAAAAGCTTAGTGTTGCCTTTATACGACTTATTTAGGTATTTAGGTTAAAGTCCTTTTAAGGAGGTGCTAAAATGTGAAATGACTTGTTTTCTCCATCACTGAGTAAAATCACACTGCCCATCAGCTGGCTTCAAAAGTTGGATCTAAAATAATCTGCATTGATTCTTCAGGCACATTTTAAATTTATTTTAAGACAAAAATAAAAAGAAAAAAAAATTAACTAAATCAAATAAAAAAAATCATCCATGTAACCTGCCCCATCTCAACAAGATTGCCTGTTTAAATAGCGATTTAATAAAAAAAAAAGAAACAAAAATATATTTAAATATAATTATCATTGCCATTTTTAATATTGTTTCTGTATTTATGATCAAAGATGTTTACACAAAGCACAACACTGATGGACAGAGTTTTGTTTCCCAGGCAACGAATGATGCAACCGACCTTCAACTTAAATCAAGTAGGCGACAGCAGCCAATCAGAATCCAAAAAATTTAGGTTTCACTAATTAATTATCACAGAGAGGAGCCACTCAGAAACAGCAGCCTAACATTCACATGTTAATTAAACAGCAACCAACCACAAACACCAAATAATTATAATAATTGTTCCAACAGAAAAGCAGCAGGTAGTTAAAAAGGGGCCAAAAGAAAAAAAAAAGATCAGGGTTTTTTTTCTCCTCTTTTTTTTATTTTGTTGCAGGGGTGATATTTATTTGCTGGGGTTCGCTTGAAGCCATCACTGCTGTACTTACACTGCATGTGGAGAACCTGCTTGATGAGATCAGCGGTTTGGAAAGCAAGAACAAACACCTGGTGTTCTCCCAGTTAATCTGTGGCATATTTAACCCGCATGCTGGAAGCCAAAGGTGCCAATAGTAGCCCAACATTGCAAAGGATCGCTAAAAGATGCTCCACATCTTTCAGAGAGGCTTGAACAACCCACATGGGAATGTAGAGCTATGAGGAATCCCACAATCCTTTGTGTGACAGGATGTATAGGCCCTAATCACATTGTCACTAATCTCAGAGTTTTAACAAAAAATACATAATTTCTTCCCTGTTTCAGTTCAACTGTCTAAACCTCCTAATGTTTTGGGTTTTATATTGCAGACCTTCAGCTGTTCCCTGCATTTGTGTAGCTGATGTTATTGTTTGGAAGGTTGTAGTCTCAATTCATCCAACATCAGCTATGTTTAATCAATGGTGTCCAGAATGCTAAAGGCTGTCCTCATCTGGCTCCTTCCTTTCCTACACAGAATAGTATTATTGCTGTTCAGACCACAATGTTTCATCCACTGGAGGTTGAGGAGCACTGGAGCCCACGCCTTATTAAATCACCTGAAAGCAGCACTGGGGAAAATGGGGAAGAGGCAGCAAAGAACAGGATGCCGAGCTGAATTTATCCCTCAAATCCAGAGCTATGATTATCAAGACCTGTGCAAACACCAAAAGTTCTGTTTGAGCCAAAAATTCACCTGCAACAGCCACTGTTCAGTCCTCCAAGAGTAACAGTAGACAGTTTTAAGGCATGTGTAGCAGAACTGAGAAATATCAGCAGTAAACCTGAATAAAAATACAAAAACACTTAAACATTAAAACGTTACCTCACAGAACCCGTTTATATTTAATTCCTCTCTGATTTTGGGTTACAATATACTTCTACTGGGGTCCAGAAATGGCCACCAGGGCCTACGACCCCCTTATGATCCTAGATCCTAACTGGCTCTAACCAGTGACAATACAGTTTATATCTAAAAACTAAAAAAATTGATGCAGCATTAGTAAATGCAAACAGGTCACAAACATTCATTTCTGCTTCTAGAATAACTGATTAATGGATATGATAGAAAAACAATCAACAAAATATTAAAGTAATGTTTTTACAAGAAATCAGCAGCTGGAATAAAAAGATCCAACATGAATCATAAATATTTTATAATTCTCTTTGTATATATTATAAAATTACTAAAAGGCGTTTTAAACTATGCAATGATTTCTCGAATGTTTCAATAGCAGATTTCTGAAATGATGCAGACCTAAGGGCTGGTTATCCTCCCGCAGCAGTGTGACGCAGTGAGCTTGTCGCAGATATTTTTGAGTTATGCCCAAAATTGAAGCGTGGTCTGTGCTATGTTGTTCCACGCCACAACGCAAGAGGAAGAATCAGGAACTAGCTGTGGGTCTAGATACGGCCAAGGCGAAGTAGGGGCAAGTTTGTGCGACAACAGTGGGACGTGAGGGCGAATAAGAGCAGGGATCCAGGTGGAAAAAGCACTTTGCGCTTCTAGCTGGTCCAACTTCACAAGTCGTTTTCCACAATGGCGGTCATACAAACAAAACAAGCCGGTAAGGTACCAAACAGAAAACATGCATAGTGTAGAACGGCTGTAGATTTGACCAATCAGAGGCCTCCTGTCTGCGTTCATCAACAATTTGGGAGAGGTGCACCAGAATGTCTGAGTTCGAGCCCCACTCCCACAGACTGCCACTGGATCTCTGAGCAAAAGACCCTTAACCCCACACTGCTCCCCAGGTTCCACACAATGGCAGCCCACTGCTCCCCAAGGCAATGGGTTAAATGCAGAGAGTGAATTTCATTGCTCTGTACTTGTAACAGTGTAATGACAATAAAAGCTGAAAAAAAAAAAACTCAAACTAAAACTGAAGGTAAATGACATTTGTTTAAAGTTTAATGTCTCCATCAGATCAGGGGCAGCCCTGACAGCTCACCTGGGGAATCCCTGCAGACACCTCACTCTCCACTCTTCTCTGGATCGCCTCCAGCTGAAGTTTGAGCTGAGTTAGATCTTTTAACTGTCTCAGAGGATCCTAGAAAAAGGAAAAAAAAAAACATTTTAGATCTATTATTCATATAAGAAACCACGATAAATCCAGAGATAGTAGAACTAACTGATTTTAACTAACCATGCTTTATAACACAAGTAAGACGCGGCAGTATGTCTGCCTCGTTAACCACACATACATACACAAATTCCTCTGAAGTTTTTTTGCCTTGGTGTTCAAAGGGTCGACTCTTGTCTCTCCCTGAAAGCCCCACTCGTGACTTTAACACATAACAAACTGAGAGACACCGAATGTCCACGATCCTCTAACTACTGCTGTCAACTGCAACAAAAACAGTAAAGTAACTGAATTTTTAATAGATTAAATGCCAGACACCACTTACTCACCTTGTCATCCGCCATTTTTTCTCGGTCGGTTTACTTCTTCTGTGCATTGGGAAAAACCTAGAGATGCAACACCGCCCCCTACTGGACTAATGGTTAGGAAAGTACATTGGATGAACTAAACAAAAAGAAACAAGTACAGGTGCTGGTCATAAAATTAGAATATCATGAAAAAGTAGATTGATTTCAGTAATTCCATTTAAAAAGTGAAACTTGTATATTATATTCATACACTACATACAAACTCATATATTTCAGATGTTTATTTTGTTTAATTTTGATGATTACAAATGACAACAAATGAAAATCTCAAATTCATCATATCAGAAAATTAGAATATTACTGAAGACCAATAAAAACAAAGGATTTATAGAAATGTTGGCCAACTGAAAAGTATGAACATGAAAAGTATGAGCATGTACAGCACTCAGTATTTAGTTGGGCCTCCTTTGGCCTGTATTACTGCAGCAATGCGGCGTGGCATGGAGTCGATCAGTCTGTGGCACTGCTCAGGTGTTATGATAGCCCAGGTTGCTCTAATAGTGGCTTTTAGCTCTTCTGAATTGTTGGGTCTGGTGTATTGCATTTTCTTCTTCACAATACCCCATAGATTTTCTATGGGGTTAAGGTCAGGAGAGTTTGCTGGCCAATTAAGAACAGGGATACCATGGTCCTTCAACCAGGTACTGGTAGCTTTGGCACTGTGTGCAGGTGCCAAGTCCTGTTGGAAAATGAAATCTGCATCTCCAAAAAGTTGGTCAGCTGCAGGAAGCATGAAGTGCTCTAAAACTTCCTGGTATGTGGCTGCGTTGACCCTGGACCTCAGAAAACACAATGGACCAACACCAGCAGATGACATGGCACCCCAAACCATCACTGACTGTGGAAACTTTACACTGGACTTCAAGCAACGTGGATGAAGTGCCTCTCTTCTTTTCCTCCAGACTCTGGAACCTTGATTTCCAAAGGAAATGCAAAATTTACTTTCATCAGAGAACATGACTTTGGACCACTCACCAGCAGTCCAGTCCTGTTTCTCTTTAGACGCTTCTGACGCTGTCTGTGGTTCAAGAGTGGCTTGACACAAGGAATGCGACAGCAGAAACCCATGTCTTTCATACGTCTGTGTGTGGTGGTTCTTGAAGCACTCACTCCAGCTGCAGTCCACTCTTTGTGAATCTCCCCCACATTTTTGAAGGGGTTTTGTTTCACAATCCTCTCCAGGGTGCGGTTATCTCTCTTGCTTGTACACTTTTTTCGACCACATCTTTTCCTTCCCTTCGCCTCTCTATTAATGTGCTTGGACACTGAGCTCTGTGAACAGCCAGCCTCTTTAGCGATGACCTTTTGTGTCTTGCCCTCCTTGTGCAAGGTGTCGATGGTCGTCTTTTGGACAACTGTCAAGTCAGCAGTCTTCCCCATGATTGTGTAGCCTATAGAACTAGACTGAAAGACCATTTAAAGGCTTTTGCAGGTGGTTTGAGTTAATTAGCTGATTAGAGTGTGGCACCAGGGGCCATCAATTGTGAACCTTTTCACAATATTCTAATTTTCTGATATGATGAATTTGAGATTTTCATTTGTTGTCATTTGTAATCATCAAAATTAAACAAAATAAACATCTGAAATATATGAGTTTGTATGTAGTGTATGAATATAATATACAAGTTTCACTTTTTAAATGGAATTACTGAAATCAATCTACTTTTTCATGATATTCTAATTTTATGACCAGCACCTGTAATTGGTAGAACATGTCCGTTTCCACAAATTTATTTCTCCCATTACCCTGTATAGATATATATCTATATGTCTATATTTGCAATGTATATGTTACCTCAAATGCAATGGCGTAACGACACAACAATAGGCCCGTAAGCAACATTATCTGGGTGGGCCCCAAATGAATTAAAACACCACAATCTATACAGAAGAGGATTAGGGCCACTGAAAAAATAAAAAAGTTAACTGATTTTTAAATTTTATTTCAGTTTAATATTGGGGGAAGAAAAATCAGAATTCTGACTTTTTTCCCAGAATTCAGACTTTTTTTCTTAGAATTCTGAATTTTTTCTCAGAATTCTGAATTTTTTCCAATATTAAACTGAAATAAGATTTAAAAATCAGTTACTTTTTTTTCAGTGGCCCTTATCCTCTTCTGTAGTTTTAAGATCTTTTTTGCGGTTTGAAATATATTATATGAGTGTATTTTTTTTTTTTTACCAACCGTCTAATAAACTATTCACAGTTATAGTTATAGCTTTGCTATTGGTCTTGTGTTTAAATGGCTCACCATCATGTTGAAATATGGCATGTGTTGTGGTGTAAATACGGTCTGGTCTAGGGTGGCCATTTCTATAGCACCAAAAAGGAGGACATTGTGCGGCATATCAATAAATTACTAAAAGAGGATGCTTGTGTAGCTGAATAGAACAAAATATTAAAGAAATGTAAAAAAGAATTGGTTCCCAGCATTTGTATTTATTTAATACATTGTGGTGTTTAAAAAGTGACCATTTTTTAACACGATTAATTTGCGCAGAACTCCTGCAATTGATCATAAAGCAGTTGTTTGGAAAAGAAGCTCGAGAAAGAGCTAGAGAATAGGACGATGCAAACTGCAAAAAGTGGCTGGAAAAGAGGAATTCATGACATGGCCGCAGCCTGTCGAGAGTAAAGATGATTTCACCATGTTCTCTATCTATCCATATCTATACATATATATATACACTATATTGCCAAAAGTATTTGCTCACCTGCCTTGACTCACATATGAGCTTAAGTGACATCCCGTTCCTAATCCATAGGGTTCAATATGACATCGGTCCACCCTTTGCAGCTAGAACAGCTTCAACTCTTCTGGGAAGGCTGTCCACAAGGTTTAGGAGTGTGTTTATGGGAATTTTTGACCATTCTTCCAGAAGCGCATTTGTGAGGTCGCACACTGATGTTGGACGAGAAGGCCTGGCTCTCAGTCTCCGCTCTAATTCATCCCAAAGGTGTTCTATCGGGTTGAGGTCAGGACTCTGTGCAGGCCAGTCAAGTTCATCCACACCAGACTCTGTCATCCATGTCTTTATGGACCTTGCTTTGTGCACTGGTGCACAGTCATGTTGGAAGAGGAAGGGGCCAGCTCCAAACTGTTCCCACAAAGTTGGGAGCATGGAATTGTCCAAAATGTCTTGGTATGCTGAAGCATTCAGAGTTCCTTTCACTGGAACTAAGGGGCCAAGCCCAGCTCCTGAAAAACAACCCCACACCATAATCCCCCCTCCACCAAACTTTACACTTGGCACAATGCAGTCAGACAAGTACCGTTCTCCTGGCAACCGCCAAACCCAGACCCGTCCATCAGATTGCCAGATGGAGAAGCGCGATTCGTCACTCCAGAGAACGCGTCTCCACTGCTCTAGAGTCCAGTGGCGGCGTGCTTTACACCACCGCATCCGACGCTTTGCATTGCACTTGGTGATGTATGGCTTGGATGCAGCTGCTCGACCATGGAAACCCATTCCATGAAGCTCTCTGCGCACTGTTCTTGAGCTAATCTGAAGGCCACATGAAGTTTGGAGGTCTGTAGTGATTGACTCTGCAGAAAGTTGGCGACCTCTTCGCACTATGCGCGTCAGCATCCGCTGACCCCGCTCCGTCAGTTTACGTGGCCTACCACTTCGTGGCTGAGTTGCTGTCGTTCCCAAACACTTCCATTTTCTTATAATACAGCTGACAGTTGACTGTGGAATATTTAGGAGCGAGGAAATTTCACGACTGGATTTGTTGCACAGGTGGCATCCTATCACAGTTCCACGCTGGAATTCACTGAGCTCCTGAGAGCGACCCATTCTTTCACAAATGTTTGTAAAAACAGTCTGCATGCCTAGGTGCTTGAATTTATACACCTGTGGCCATGGAAGTGATTGGAACACCTGATTCCAATAATTTGGATGGGTGAGCAAATACTTTTGGCAATATAGTGTATATATACATATATATATATACATATATATATATATATATATATATATATATATATATATATATATATATATATATATATATATATATATATATACATATATACATATATATACACATATATATACATATATATATATATATATATATATATATATATATACATATATATATATATATATATATATATACTTGAGTCATGAAACTGTGCTTACAGCTCCTTATTTCATGTAAACTAATAACTTGTGTACATACTTGTTGATGGCATTAAAATTATTTCTAATAGCATTAAAAGAGCATTAAATTAGAGTTCCTCATTCCTGTATAAAACCTGTGAACGCTTAATTTAATCTGACATATTAAAAAAATCCCCATCATCATCCAGCAGATGTTCAGTTTCTGCCCAAATATTTTCTTTCTGTTGTGGATTTTTGTAACAGGGATAACTAGGATCATACATAGTTTGTATGAACTCTGTTTATTCTCTGCTTCCAAACTCATCATCTCTTCATCCATTCCTGCAATAAGAATTTTCTTTTAAAGTTGTGAGATTCACTCTAGAATCTCACAACTTCTTCCTGGTCTGATTATTTAATTAATTGCTCTTAGTTTTTGGGAATATATACAAACTATGCTCTAATTTCTAGATACCGATCTGTTTTTACTATAAATTAATTTGACAAACCGGGTCTTCTCTACATTCTTTTTTCTGTTTGGTGCGATTGCAATAGCGGGTCTTGATCTGGACGGACCGGAGGGGAGCAAAAAATAGCTCAGCTCCGTATTTTGACGGTGAAGGAGAAGACGTACGTGGGCGGTGACGAGCGGAGGATGTGGAACAGCTCTCATTGATTTACATGACAGACAAGTACTCCGTACGTGAGCGGGGTGGAGCGCTGACGGAGTATGTGGAATCTGGGAGTAAAGGAGGACAAATACACGTCCGGCTGGGTGCAGCGCCGGACGCCGGACAGTGCAATGAAAATCCGGACTGTCCGCCCTAAAGCTGGACATCTGGCCACCCTAGTCTGGTCAGACGAATTAGCATTGGGTTGGTTTAGGAGAAATTTTTCACACCCTTACTGCAAAGAGACGTCCCAGTCTACAAT